AAAAAAAAAAAAAAAACAAAACAAAACAAAAAAACTAAAATGAAAAATTTGTTATTCAAAATTCACATAGGTAAAAGAAATTTAAATTATTACATTCTCAAATGATGTTTTTTGTTAGTTTGTAGAATTCATACCTCTTATGCGATTAAAGTGTAAAACTTTTCTAAGGATATTCCCTGGCAGTCCAGTGGTTAGGCCTCGGCACTTTCACGGGTGGGGCCTGGGTTTATACTTCTATTCTGTCCTCTCTCACACCTTTGTTAACTCCTGGACCAGAGAGGAAGGGTTATTTTCACCTTTTTAATCACTTGCAAAGTCTAGCACAAGGTTCGTATGTAGCAGGTATTCCATAAACTCTTGTTAAATGAGATGAGGCTAGTGGGGTTAACATGACCCCTTTAAAGCTACAACGGTGAGGGCTGGCTTCACTAAATGATGTTTTGAATGCACTTATGCCAACAAGCACGTGAGTTACATGATGTTCTGTTGTTACACACCAGCGTGGCACTTAGACTAGCTCTGTCTGAGTCCAGTACTCTCATTTGACAGGTGACTTCTCTTGTGTCACACAGCTCACAGCTCTCCCAACTCCCAGGCCACTGCTCTGTTCCCACCCTCTTACCTCCCCCTTGGAGGTCACCTGGGGAGTTTGGGGACCAGGTTTGGCTCTCCTGAGCCTGGGGGGCGCAATTTTCCAAAACCTCCCAATTCCACTCATAGACAACCCCCCAGCCTCTACCCGTCCCTCTTCCCTTTCCCCCTCCTCCCACCACCCGCCAGGGCTTGCCCTCCTCCAACTCCCACCTAGCACTACAAATGCTTTAAAGATGCCGCACATCAAAGTCCCAGGTAAAGTTTCGGCTTTTGTTAGCTACCCAGAACACGCTCTTGCTGGCCAGGTGGCCTCTTTGTAACAAAGTTTCTTTCTGTTTATCAGTGGAGCTGCTGACCTCCTGCAGACGTGGGGGCCAGGAAGTTAGCAGTGGCCACACCACCAACAGGGATGTTTGGTCAGGTTAGTCAGACTACCGTACAATTACAGGTTTATTCTTTGAAAAGTGATGATTGTTGCCGCTTTCACTTGGAGCATGTGTGTGGAGGAGCTAACACCACGCTGGGCGTGAGGGGACAACAGGTCAATTTCAAGCTACTGGTTGGGGGGAGGGAGCCAAAAGGCTGTTTTGGACAAATGATTCTCCGTTTCTTCCCTGGCAGCACTTTCTCGACATCAAACCCTGCCTGCATTTCACTTCCTCTGTTCTCATGCTGTGAACAAAGTAGCAAACCATCTGCTCCAAACTCCTCCTCCCACCTCTGACCCTTTGAATTACAGAATGCTGGGAGGTTTTCACTTTTCTCCATAATTAACACTTTGAAGACACTTCAGCTTTCCCCCAAGACTAAAGCTTTCCCCCAAGACTAAAGCTGCAGTACGTGGTTATTTTCCCAGAAAGATGCACTGAAAGTTATTTCAGTAGCTAGTCTGTCAGGTTTTCTCTCCTGGCAGATGCAGCCAGGTTCATGTTTTGTTTGCATAACATTTTAAGCTTTAGTTACCCAAACAGATTTTTCCATTGAAAAACCCAACCCAACTTTACTCACACTGTACACCTAGAATATGCTTGGCATATAGTAGGTGCTCAGTAAATATTTCTTGATTTATTCCAAGTTTGTAAAAGTCACTGAAAATCATAATAATATGTGACCAAGCAGGAAGTTCAACAGCTCACGGGTTTTTGTTACTGGAGGACCTCCAGGCCCTGCCAGGTGAGGCAGGGATGTGCAACTATCTCAAACTGAGCCTTGGGACTCCTCGCAATCCAGGGATAAAGGAGGACCCCAGGTGGGCATGAGCTGGGATTCCCTAATTATCTAGGAACCCTGGTGACAGTCAGGCTGGGTTTGAGAGAAGGCAAAAAAAACAACTTGGATTGAGTCTTATCATCCTTTGATTGTCAGAGGAAGGGGAACGGATGGGGAAGTTTAACAGGAGGGGTATTCCTGCAGGCTTGCGCTGGTCTCCAGATTGGGGGGCAGGTGATGGTGAGGA